ACGTAACAGTTGGGTTTATGCCGAAATGTAATCAGTAATGCATTTATAAAAATATTAATATGCCATGTTTTTAGCACACTGTTTTATGTTGGTCTGTCATGTGAACTTCAAATAAAAAGACTTTAAAGTTTGTGGTTGTGACCCAAAAAGAAGTGAAAAAGTTTGATATTTATGAACGCTTTTTAAAACCTGTGGAGTTCTGTACATTAACATAAACTAGAAAACTTTCCCTTGTTGCTCTGCTACATTCAGTAAATGATGCTGTAATTATTCAGCTAAAAAATGACCACCGACACCCCACACACTCCCTGGTCCTCCACAGGGAGCAGCGTGGGAGAGGGTGTTTGCAATGATAGATGAGCTTGATCTCCCACCACGTGCTCCGAGGAGTTGACATTCCCAGGCAGTTTGGATCACGCCTTTCTTCCCTTTTTATGATGTGACTTTTGCTGAGACAAGTATGCAGGCCTCATTTACTGAACCAGCGGGGAATAATGTAGTGCCAGCATTTGGATGTGTCAGGTCCCATATCTCTGGCTGTTCTATTAGAAATAGACCCCGGTGTGGTGACAATTAACCTCTGGCCTCGGCCTCAGATCTGTGCAGTTACAGCCCAGTATGGGGAAATAAATCAAACCTAGCAAGAGAAACGCAGAGTCTTTCCAGCTTTGGGTGGCTTCTACTATCACCTACTGGACTGAACTTTGGAATTTCATAAATTTGCTTGAGATGAGGGTTTCCTGTGTCCATGGTCGTGGTGTGTTGATAAAGGCATAAAACACATCCTCAGTTGGTGTCAGTGCCCTAATGGATGCACCCATCGGAATATTGTGGGCGACTTTTAATCCCTAGCTTTTGCAGCGCTGATACAGCTACTACCTGATTCCAATTTATTTTGAAATACTACATTAGAAGCATATATGAAAACTACATTTTTTTCTAATCTTCCTGTCATGACTGAACATTATTTATTTAGATAAGGAGAAGACTGCAAGAGTAATAGAACAGCCGGTACTAAACAAGATTTTTACTATCATTTTTATTCAGAGATAAAATGGTTTTGTTGTTTAGGTTTCCTGCTGAATAGAAGTAGTGTCAGTGTTCCTCTTCACCCAAAATTGTGGAGGTCTAATTAACAATAAGATTTCCAAATGTATTGTTCTCAATGACAGACAGAGGTGGAAACATCAAGCTCAAAACTTTGCTTTAATGTGATTTGCCATCCTTTTATCTAATTATTCTTGCTCTCACTCACATTCCTTAAGCTAATTAACCTAAAGCTTTGTCTTAAAATAGTAACACCATTATATTGCTATATATATTAATATAGCTTGGATTTTGTCAAAACAGTGGAAACAAGAAGATTTCTTCTATATTTACTTTGATTATTTGAATTTTATAATATTAACATTAATTTACATTTATTGATATGAAGAGTTCATTTGAAAAAACAGATAACTCAGTTTCTATAAATTTTCAAAAAAATACTTATATTAGCAGTGCCATGCAAAGAGTAAATGACATGCCTCTGCTCATTTTTTTTTAATTGGCGTTTATCTGTTTATTCAAACGAACTCTTCCTCAAAATACTACTATTACTGCAACTATAACTACTGCTACTAATAATAAATATCTTCCAAAAATGTTTTTTTTTTTGTGTTATGTCAATAGTCAATAAAGGTCCAACTGAATTTTAAAACAAATCTTTTCACTTTCAGGCTTTTAAAGATTTCTTATACTTACAAGGATTTTAAAGACAGCTGACAATATCAGCACGTTCTGGTCAGGCAGTCTTTATTAGGCATTGTTCAAAGTATTAACATTAAAGAATAAAGATGGATTATTCTTTTCTAAATTTACTCTCCAGCAAGAGAGTAAACTTATATTAAATATTCCATTATGCATCAATGTAATTACATTAATCTAAACCACTGATTTCAGCACAAAGCAACAAGAAACAGGCGGATCATTAGTTGTAAAATGTACAATAGAATTTAGTTGATTGTAAACAGGTTTAGTCAGTTTATTGATTGGAAACAAATCAGATCAATATTTCTGCTCTTATTTAAGTTTGTAAAGACTTTAGACAATTATTTTTATTTTTTTAATGAGATGTTCCATAATAATGTAGTAAATGATATGGAAAACAACGGATCAAAATGTGACCTTTTTAAGTTATTATTAGACATTTCCTTTTAAATAACAAGAACTTTAAGACACTACCTAAGGTGTGATAATGTAAAACGAACAACTTTATGAAAAAAAAGCAACAGGGGTCTATGTCTATGACCCAAAGTTTGATTCTCAAGCTGAGAAGGCATTAACACACACACACACACACACACACACACACACGCACGCACGCACGCACGCACGCACGCACACACACACACACACACACACACACACACACACACACACACACACACACACACACACACACACACACACAAGAAGAAGAACAGGTAAAGGGCAAAAAAAACACATACAAGCAAAGTCCAAATAAATCCCAAAGCACACAATGAGTTGCTTACAAAAGTGCGGGAACAAGCACAGAGGAGCCAGCAAGGAATACAGAGAAAAGAAAGCAGCTGGAAAGTTTGAATGCAGAGAATACAAAGGCTTTCCAGGAAACAGTCAGAGAACCTCTGGGGGTTTACATACAGTGAGTAATGAGCGGATCGAACACAGGTGTGGCATAAAATTGGAGGGAAACACAACTACACAAAAAAAAGCAACTAAAGATAAAGCTGGAAATACAACAAAAAGGAAACAAAACCGACCAACCAAAGTATGTTCATTGGCCATTAACAATCAATGTCACAGTGAATGATTAAAATGTTCTGAAAGGTACTAATAAACTCAATTATGTTCAACATGTATTAGAAACTGTTTACACAGTCATTTTAGGGATTAGTTCCTGAAATGTCATAGAATTAAAAATATCCAGAAGCTAAGATGAGCAATGATATTTATTTTATTCTTCCCACCAGTGGAAAGTTATCTTTGTTTCACCTTCATGGTAACACTAAAACAAATAATAAGTGAGTGATGAACATAACTGGTTTCTTATGCTGCAGATTTATTTTAGCTCCCGAACCACTGCAGCAGTCTGAATAGACTTTCAGCATTTAAAAAACTACACGTGTATTGAAACAGGCGATGAATCATCACAACAGAGAGTCCGGTTCTAGTTCCTTTTTGGCACACTGTCACGTTGAAAGCATTTGTTTAATGGCAGATTAGAAGAAAAAAAAAAGAGCAGTAAACCACGGGGGTCACCTTCAGGACTTGCCAGTGATTATTTCTATCATTAGCATGTCACGTCTCATGCTGTCCCACTCAAATTAACACTGACACAGGCTCTGGGGTCATATGACAGAACCATTAAAAACTGCCCACTGCTACGCTGTAACTCTTACACCGACTGAAAAATGGGAAATATGGCAACAGATGTGGGGAACAACAACCAAAACCCATCATTTCTGCACCCAGGACCCATTAAAGTTATCACTATCTAATATCATTTAGAAAAATGATGCCTTTTGATGTAATAGATGGCAGACTGCAAGTTATTATGATAATAACTGCCTTTCCCAAAGGACCTGCTCACTCTAAAATCTACTTTTCTATGCATATCTCCACACATGCTGGGGCATTGCTTTCTGCTATGTTTAGTTTTAGTGCCTCAAGGCTAAAGTAATAAAATCATGTCGCTTAATATGTTTGAGGGATATTTGGAACATGTTGTTGTTTTCACAACACTTGAGCTGATAATTTGATATAAATGAGATTCTGTATTATAGTACTCTAATTCTGACAGGTACAGTAAGTAAACACTGCAGCATTGAATGCTTAGAAAATCCTTTTTAGTATTTTTACTAAAATAATTGAAACCCTCATCAGATACTGTGTTTTCTTTTTCTAAAACAACATAGAATTGATATGTTTTGTTGTAAATTAATTTAATCAAGATGAAACCTCGTTTCCGTCCTCTAATGACATCGGATAAGGTAGCAAATCGTGATTATTAGAGCACATTTACGTTTTTTTGTTATTAATTTTTCCCTTTGTTTCAGCTGTTCTTATTTCTCTTTAAAGGTGTTGCCTTGTTCTCTAAGCTAAACCAGCTAAATCATTTAGCTGTGCATGCATAATTTGTGCACACTGCAAAAACGATCTAGGAATAAGCAAATATTTATTAAAATAAGTGTATTTACACTTAATCTGAACAGGTAAATAAAATTATGTACTAATGGAATGAGTATTTTTACTGTTAAAATAATATTAGATAATATGCAATTGAAATAAGACATTGCAGTTGTTTTTTTCTTATTTTAAATGTAAATTATCCTGTTCCATTGGCAAAGTGTCAAACTTGCCTCCTCAATTCAAGAACAAATACACTTATTTTAAGAAATAATTAATTATTTAGATTTCAGTTATTGGAAGTGCACAATTTTATCAACAAATACCATCAGAGAGAGAGAGAGAGGCTGGAAGACCAGTTAGTTCCAGACCGGTTAGAGAAAATACTTGACCGGTGGTCAGAGAAAATTCAGAATATCCAGCGTCACTTGTATTATAAAAACATCTAAATCTAAAGCCTGATATTGATATGAGACCCTAGTTTCTTCAGATTGCATGCCCACTGAGGTTTAAAGTTAAGCGCTTGGCTGCTGCTCTAAACTCAGCATTTCTTTTTATTTGCTGTACGTGTGGGCAGTGAGGTTGGCGGTTCCAGAATGTGTAATCGGTGTATATTTCAGGGTCACAATGTTAAGCCGTCACACCACAGCTACCGTTTCCCTTGTGTTGATACTGAACCACTGCAGAGTTGTCACGTTAACGGCTCACACTGCTCACTTTCTGATCTGAGAAAAAACCCTTTTGTACTGGCAGCTGTATTTTATCATCTCATTTGTTTGCATCATTCTGTAGGAGTCGTGCACCTATTCTAGCCTTAAGTCTTTTTCTTCTATCTCCTCCCGTCTATTTAGCTGCTGGCTGCACGTTTGAAGAGGACTCAGACCCTAATCTGTGTGACTTCACTCAAGGGGAGGAGGATGACTTTGACTGGATGCTGTTTAGGACGTACAGCGCACCTTCAGCCAGTACCGACCTCCTGAGGGGTGAGTACTCCTCTTTCCTGGGCAGGATATTTTAGACGAATTTTCTGCTAAAAATAACAAGGGAAGTTTGTTTTCTTTTTAAACCAGTGGTGAAAACCTAGAGTTTGTCTGGTAAATTTGAAAACATCTTAAAATATTAGTCATAGTTGCCAAAGCAAACCTTTATACCTTTAGACTAATAAGAGTATTCATCACTTTATGCTTTAAATATTTTCTGCCATATCAAATTTCTCCTTCACTTTTGTTTATCATTTCCAAACTGAATTTTTATGATTTTATATTTTTAATTGCAAACCACTATGTACATTTTAACTTACAGGCAGTAAATACAAAAATCAAGCCACCTGGGATATTATATAACACAACAAAATCTTTTTAAAAAAGGTTATTGGAATATATTGTTTTAATGTTTATAAGAAATTAAATGTGATGGTCTTAAGATTCCTGAGGCTTAAGGCCCCTTGTGACCCATGGGGCCATTTTGGGATAACAGACTCAATAAGTGATGCAACATCCAGTGGGAAATGTTGTCACTTCTATATCACTGTTGGTAATACTTAATCTGCAGAGCTAAATCTGAAATTTGTTTGCAATTTTGGATTAAACTAATTTAAAGACCTTGTTTAAATCAAATATATTCAATCTGAAACATTTAAATGAACCATTTTTTTTTTTTACTTTCTTTTGTAAAACATTATTTGGCTTCCAGCAAATACTGTCATATTTTTTAAAGGTAAAATTCCCTTTAAAAATTATTTATAAAAATATTTTGATAGTTAAAAACAGATCTTCATTAAGTTTCACTTCAAAGAAACATTATGTTTGATTTAGTGCAGCATAAATGGCCATTTTTAAGTGTCAGGAAAGTTGGACTTGTGTAAGTCGGCTGACATTCATGTCTGATGTCTGTAATTCATCAGGCCTAATGAAGCCCTCACCCTGTTTTTGTCTGCATTTTGCAGACCCCAAGGATCATTTTATGTTAAGCAGCCTCACAAGACTAATGAAAGCCAGCCCTTTCCTGTCATCATCTTCTCTACTGGTGACTGCCAGAGGGATATGACATGCATAGTTTATAAGGCGCTCCTCCATCTCTGCATTAACAAATACCTACAGGGTTTTGGCAAAGAGAGGACTGCTGTTTCAGGTTCTCAGCAAAAAAAAAAAGAAAAAAAAGAATGACATCAACAGGGCTTTCTATTAAAGTGCCTTTTACTGAAAAATATGCAGCATGATTTGGGAAAATGACATCCCTCTAGTGTAGCTAATCAATCAGTCTATCATATGGTAATGAGAACTCAATAAACCCATGACAAAAACATGCATTGAAGTGCTTATTGTACAAGTGTAGCAGAGGGGGAGCGATTGTGTTCAGTATGAACGTTACCATCTCTGAGGAGAGGATGGACATGATTTGATGGCTGAGGAGACGGTTAATATGGCAGATATGAAGATAGATAGGCTGAGTGGAACAGATACAATCTAAACAGAGTTAAATGGATGCCCCGGAGGGAGCGTTCTGTCTTTTTCACAACCATCAGCTCAAATAGCCTTTTAAAAAACAGACAAGAAAATCCTGGAGGGAGGAAAATCCCACATTTTACAGTTCTAAAGTCCCTTTTTTTTGGGAGGGGGGGGGGTCCTGCAGGTGTTTATCCAATACAATCGCTCGATAGCTCGATAAATCCCGCATTTAATTCAAAGCCACACCTCACTCACCTCAACATCATCAGCATTCATGTGAGAATCTGCCTGCAGCAGCTAACCTACTCACAGTAGGCAATGAGACAATTAATACTTTCCCCTTTGGGTTTAATTAAAACTCGCTGCTGTGGCATATACAACAATCCAGAGCATTCGTTGAAGCTGGCTGGCGCAGGTGGAGGAAAGGTAGGTACTGTAATCTGTGTATGACAATGATCCCAACATCGATCACTTCTAAGTACTGGGAGACGCATTTGGTTGGATGGAAAACCTGCTTATCCTCAAAAAATAATTCTGCCGCAGGTTGGGGGGGTAACACAAACTTCTTGCCTTCTTGTACGTCTTGTTTGACCTAATCCCCCTCCCTCATGTTTAGACTGCTTACGCTTTATTCATCAAGCATCCAAGCTAAAAGAGGGCGGGGAAAGAACACAGGTTTTATGAGATAAGGCTATTTACACTGGACCAGCATTAACTTTGCGGGGCTGAGAAATTGGTGTCGAGGGAAGATTAGTAAACACAGCTGAGATAGCAGCAGCTTGTGGGTCCCTGGAGAAATTAGAGACAACCGCTCCCATGGAAGAATAAATAGTGCTGGAATAAAAGACGAAGATAGACAGCAGAGAAAGATGGTCATAAAAAATAGCACTTTTTATCATAGTTGCCTCATTTGCAGTGGGATTGAAGATGTTTGAGAGATATTGATAACCTTTAGCTATCCCGCTGCTTTAACAAACGAGCCAGGCATGCAGGATGACGACCTTCCAGAGAAGTGAAGCTGGTTCTACTGTTAGGAGTTGAAAATGATGCGTTCTACATTGTCAGGTATACATTAGCACATAAGGTTTGCCTTTGGGGGAAATATCTATTCATTACCCTCGAAGGGAGAAAGGTGAGGTATCTTACAGATTCAGGTGTTAGATTTTAAATGTTAGACTACCTGATTCCCCTGTTGTGTTAACACATTAAACACCCCATGTAAAAACTGCCATTTCCACAAAGACTTTCTGTCTTGGTGTGATCAGAGAACTAATTTTAAAGCTCATTAGTTCATATTAGCTTCATTACACCAAATAAGTATTCAGACTTATCCCTTCTGTAACCTGAACAATTCATGAGTGATTAGTGGACCACAAAATAATAGCACTAAGTTGGTGTGTAATTGTTATTACATATGACAATGTTTTATTGTTATTTTTCATTCGAAGTAGGGGTAGAGGTGGTGTTACAACACTTTGTGAGGAAGAAATTCATGAAAACAAGAGTTTTTCTGTCTGTTTTTAAAGAAAAAACAAAATGTTTACCAAGTTGACATGTGAAGCCATCTTTAGCCTCCACTGATGACAGCAATGCTGATGTTTTCCAACAAAAGCCTCTGTGTGTGTATCCCCAAAACTGGGGTTTCAGGGTGACACTCCTGACGTGTTCTTGCCAACTACTAGATAAAGGAGACCTCTTAGCACTGAGTTGTCCTCCACCCTAACAGCATTAGATTTTTTTTTCTGTGTCTGGAATGATTCTGTGAAATTTAATTAGCTGTATACTAAATACGGGACTGTCTCTGCCTTTTAAAGTATTTCTGGCAACCCTAGTCTGGATATCTTTCTCAGAATGATCTTGATTTGACCCCTGTAGTGTGCGACGTGCCTAAAGCAGCAAAAATAATAAAATAGAAAATGAAATGAATTAATGCAAATGTCAAATAAAAAAAGGCTGGCCCATTAAAGGTTTTAGATTGTGCTTTTTAAAGCCTTTAAGAGTCGGTTATAGACATAAACATGATGAAATATTGCCTCTGGCATGACAGAGTATTGATTTATTATGACATATTAGTTGTTTTCTTCCGAGCCCAAAGGAAGACATTTGCCTTCAGTGTGAAGCTGCCTCTTCCTATGTGGGTGCTGCCAGTGTCTTGATGTTGCCGTGTCTCACCCCTTCCAGTGAATGTTCTGAGAAGACTGAACAAATTCTTGAATCTCTTGCAGTTTAGAAAAATGACTTAGACATTACCTAAAAAGGAATAGATGCTGCTAAGAGCCACTTCATCTCAACTTCAAGCTTCAACTGCAGTGCTCTGTCCCACATCATCAGTCACCGATCAGAGAAAGGTGACATTTATTTTCTGTGCAGGTGCAGCACGGTCAGTGTAGGTGCTTTCTGGAGGGAGTAATGTCAGCTCTATGTAGAACTGTCTTGGCCACTTGTTTTTTATTTATTTTTTTTCCCATGAGAGAGAGAGGGGAGGGGAGGGGGGGGTTCGTCAACTTTTACCTGTTTGTGCATGATTTTGATCAAGAATAACACAATAACATACTTAAAAGCTAATAAAAACAATCAAATTTACTTTTTAAAGGCCCTTTAAATTATTAAATATTATATTTTCTTATTTAATATATTATTGAATGCTAAATTATTATAATAACATATAGCAAATCTAAAGTAACTGATCTGGTCATTTAAAATCATCCTATCTTATTGATTTGACAGGGAAATTTCCAGTTAAAGAACAAATGAGGGGCTGTATGACCACAGTGCAATAAATTGTTGCTGCATTTCACAATGTTTGGTTTATGTGATACTTGCACATAGAGTAATGATTATTTGTTGTTAGGAATTTTAATTCACTCTGAAATCGGGTCTGCCTTTCCTATATTTAGATATTGATGCAATGTGTGATACATTGCTATCTGGCAGGAAGGGCAGAAGCAACATATATTAAGTTTATCCCCTCAGAAATAATGGACTCTGACTTCTCCAGTAGCATTTGAACTAGAGCCCCTCGATGGCTGCGGCGACCTTCGGGTGCAGTGGGAAACGCTGCTGCTGTCAAGCTGCAGTTATGGGAACAAATGGTTTACGCTTCTATTTCAGCTCACAGTGACCTATTCTGGGAGAGGTTGGAAACATGAGTGAACATTACTCATAGACTGGACCTATGAGCCAAATGCATTGTAGGTATCGACCTGTGGACTGTAGTTTGGGCAGAAAATTACCTTTTTTTTAACAAAAAAAAACAAAAAAAAACAAAACCTTTTTAGTGAGTAATTCCCTCTCACTACACACACCTAGTACTTTTCACATCTGAGTCACAAGTTCAGTGCTAATGTCCTGTTACTAATACTCAAATCCAGATACTGTTCTGCCACATAAATGAACATGTTAGGGGTGTAATGAGTCATAAATGCACACCTGAAAACATTTAAATAAATGTTATTTGTCTGCTATTGCCTATTTGTCGACCCAGTTTTTGTTTTTCTGATAGAGAAGAGTCAAAGGTGGAGAAGAGGTACCTGGGA